AGGCAACAGTCCTTTCCAGGTGCTCCCCTCTTAGGCTGTAAGGACTTCGCAGGATCCTGGCTCTTTGCCATGTCCTCATGTGTTAGTTTTATTACTCCATGTTTCCTTATAGTGATTAGTAATCATAATAATAACCAATGTTTATTGAGTGCTTACTATACTCCAGATATGATCCTAAGCACTCTATATATTAATTCACTTATTCTTCAAAAATATCTCAATGAGGGAAGGTTATTATGAGCTCTATAATTGGATGTGGAAACTGAGGCACAGAAAGGTTAGTAACTTGCTTAATGTCAAATGGCAATCTGTCCTAGGGTGAGTAACTATCTCATTTTTCCTGGGACTATCTCAGTTTTAGCACTGAAAGTCCCATGTCCCTAGAAACTCCTCTGTCCTGGGACAGTTGGTCACCCTAATCTGGCCCCAGGGTCCTTGCTTATTGCTGTGAAACTCCTCTTAAGGCCAAAAGGGTCTGTGTGCTTGTAAGCAGAGGAATGGCAGAGACGGTGTTCCTATAGCATCTTGTGTGAGACTTAATTTGCAGATTCCTATTTCTATTCAATTAGCCTGATGCTAAGGGAGCAGGAAAAAAGAGAATGGGGCCATTCCTTCAAATCAGATAGCAGCAGAAATGGCCACAAGGAGAGGGTAGTCAGTGCAACTACTGCCATGGAGAACCTGCGTGGACATCTAGTAAAAATATAAAACTTGTCTTGTCACTGTGGAAAGTGAAGAATTCTCATGTATTATCCCAGTTACTCCTTGGAGTAGCCTTATGAGATAGGCACTAATATCATACCCAGTTCACAGATGAGGAGAGGTGAGGAAACTTGCTCAAAGCAATCTTGATTGGAACTCAATCTGTCTGCCTGCAAAGCCCATGCTTTTAAGCATTATATTTCACCTAAATGTAGATGCATTTGATTTCTCATCACTTAATGACTATCAGTAGGAAAGACTCTCAGACAAGGAAAGTCTGAATCTTTGGGCTTGTTGCAAGACATGCTGGTTTGTACCTGAGTGAATAGCCCAGCGGCTAAGCGATTAGAAATGCCTGTGAGGATTTCCAACAGCTCTGGGAAAAAATCTGAGTGAACAATGCCTTGTTTAAACTTGTTGATGCTTGAAGAGCAGCAGAAAAGGTTCTGCTCTCTTCCTGCCACCCGGAGCCACGCGGTGTTGAACAAGTCTCACTTAAACCCTCTGGGTTTAGGTGCCATAAGTATGAAATGGGGATAATTATTTCTTACTTGCTTCAAAGATAATCTTTCGAAGACTCTTCTAGTACTAAGATTCATGACTATCCATATAGCCCTGATTTCTCAAGCTACATCATCCTTGAGGAAAATCAAGACCTCAGTATAGAAAAATTTATACCAAGTATATAGTATATCTAGATTGATATAGATCAGGAATGAATTTGGTTAGAGTCCTGTGGTAGACAGGATTTCTAAAATGGCCTCCCAGAGATGCTTGGCCCTAACCCCCAGAACCTGTGAAAGCAAGGAGAGATCTCTGATAACGTTAAGGTATATGACACAGTCGATCTTCAAAGAAGCAGATTATAAAGGATTATCTAGTAAACCCATTGTACTCTCATGAGCTCTTACGAACAAATAGCTTTCTTCGGCTGGTGGCAGATGAGGTCAAAGTAGGAGAAAGGGTAGTGGGAGAGATCTGAAGCATGAAGGGCATTCCGCACACCGTTGTCAGCTTTGAGGACAGAAGGAGACATGTGCCAAGGAATGTGGGCAGCCTTTCTGAGATGAGAGCAGCCCCCAGCTGACAGCCAGCAAGGGAATGGGGACCTCAGTCCTACAAGTGCAAGGAAATTAATTTGGCCAATAGCCTGAATGAGTTTGGAAGTGGATTCTTCCCTAGAGCCACCAGATAATCTCCCAGCCTGATGATATCTTGATTTCAGTCTTGTGAGACCCTAAAGAGAGAACCCAGTGAAGCCCACTTGGATTTCTGACCTGCAGAACTGTGAGATAATAAATGGGTGTTGATTTAAGTTGCTAAATTTGTTATAGAGCAACAGATAACCAATACAAGTCCCCATCCACATTTCCTAGAATCTTCATTTTGTAGCTCATAACCCTGTGGCCTTGTGTGTGCATCCTAGACTGAAGAAATGTTCTCAGCATCTCTTTCTTCTCTCTTCATTTCAAGCAGCCACACAACACTGGGAGTCTCAGATCATATTATCCTTTTTTATGGAACTCCTGGTAGAATGTGGCAGCTTGCCTCTGATTATCAACATTTCTGTCCCTCACATTACCATTGCTACAGGCCATGGTTTTGTTTACCAACCAGGTCCTTGATACCTCACCTCTCCTACTCTCTGATACTACTTATTTAAATCAACTTCTTTTGGCTCCTTCTCAATTAAGTCAAAGGAATCTTTCTCTCCAAACTGAAGGCACTTTTATCTCTTTTGGACAGCCCAATCTATTTGTCCTGATTCCCTCCCACCCCCCCATCCCCTGCAGATATGTAAATTAGAACCCAGCATGACTTGGGCCTTCTGAGGGGGTGTACCACTTATGTGCTATCTTAACACTTGACCATGTCACATTGTATTGCCGTTGGCTGTTTATTATTTGTCTCTTCTATTGGGTTATAAAGCCATTAAGGGGAACAGTGGTCTTGGTCATTGTTGAAACTTCAGTGTGCAAGTCAGGGCCTGATATATAGTGAGTGCTCGACCAACCTTTGAATGAAAATGAGCTATTAACACATTCCCAACATGGTAGTAAGGTAAGAGTTCCCATGTATGGACATACTTTTTTTGATATGTGGATTATATCAGAGACATTTAATGACTTTTCTAAAAAAATGTCATGATCAGGAACATTGTCATAAAAGAAAAACCATTGGGTGAAATGTACAAGAGCAAATAAAAGTTCTAACTACCTCTTCAGTGAACAGAGTATTTATAGTATTTCAGTCAATTAATATTTTCTTAAAGTGCTTTAACGTCAGGAAGCATGATAACAGCACCCATTACACGCTCAAAACCAACGTGCTGCACTAGCATAGCAATATAATTTTTCAGGAGCAGCCATTCTTACCAATTTTCATTTTCTTCAATTAAATGAACTCAGTTGTTATATTTTCTATTTCCTAATAACCAAAAAATTTTGACACTATTTTTAAGTTTCAAAAAAGTTTTAAAAGTGTCTATTAGATGAAAGGAGAAAATAAGACTTATGAAAAACCCAGATCCTTTTTGTTGGCTGAGTCCTGATAGGAGGACATTACGGGGACAGAGCTGAAGCAGCAGAGGTGGAGTCCTGAGTGACGTGAGGCTAAGATTAGAACTGGACTCATGGTTGTGAGCGGTCAAAATTACCCCAGATGTTAGAGTCAAAGGGCAAAGTGGAAATGGGAAAAGAAATACCAAGGTCAATAGCTAAAAATTGGGCAGGAGTAAGGCTGGGAATAGCACATTGGTGCTTGGTATGTATTATAAGGGGTGAGTATTCTGTTTGTCTGGACATAAAGCATTAGTCCTGTCCTTCAAGCTCAAGTCCTAAACATGTATTAGCCGGGACTAAGGTACTGGGGTGTGTATGTGTACAAGTGTGTATATGAAGACTGAAAAACAGGCAATTCATGGAAAGTTGTTCATACAACATGGAGCAGAAGGGAAAGTTGTCTTTGAATGAGAAAACAAATTGTATATGGATAGATGTTGATTCGTTTTTCTTATAGTGAGTTTTACTCCTTTTATCTAATGAATTACTCTTTACAAACTTAGGGGCTAGGAGAAGAAATCTTTTTGATATGAAGCGCTATTTCGGCTGTGAAAAGGACAAAAGGCCTTTAGTAAAACTAGCAATGTAACCCTTGGGTCCAGTTGATGAAAATGTCTACACCAGCAACAGAGCTCTCTCCAGCTAGTGAGCCGTCTCCAGCACCTGCTCAGTCACTGTTTCAGTGTTCTGTTCCCCCAGTAGTATTCTACAGTGCTTTCAGAGCTGATGCTGGAAATTTTTTGAGGTTATCTCTGTATAATAAAGTCCCCATCCCAAAGGTTTCACCTCAGTGTGTGTTATGTTGAGTTGGGAAATTTACTGGCCTTACACAACTTTCTTCTCTCCCTTTGGGTTTCTTGCAGTACTAACTCTGGCCCATTTCTCCCTTAAGAAATAAATGTGAAAGGAACTGAGTTTAATTTTAACTGCTAAAATTGATGCTTTGGTGGGTAAACTTCACCAGTATTATTGATCAGATGATATTGTTTTGTAGACCTCAAAAGAATCTTAAGTTCCATTAGGAGTCTCTAGCTGGACCTTTGATATGTCTTAGATTCTAGGAACAGAGAGCTTAGAGAGCAGGATACTGGTCTTTTTCTCTGTAGGTACAGGATTTATTTTTTTATTTGGGAAAAAGCTGTTCTTTGGTCTTTTAAATTCATGCTATCATCCTTTGATTACAGTAAGAGCTTTACTTCCATTAATTATTGATGGAGGTGGTGATGGCAATGTCATCTCATGAGACCAGGTGGCCTTGACAGGTTTTAAGCTTGGTTTCTCATTCCCACTCAACCCAGCATTTCTTCTAGTATTTTCACATTATCAAGGTCTTGGATCATTAGAAGGGAAATGCAATTACAAAAAAGTCACCAGAAATTGTAAGGTATCTTATTTTAATTCATGAAGTAACTATTTTTGTGATCCTGGGGCACCACACTTTATCTGATCAGGCACTTTCACTGGAAACAAATCTGTTGGATACAGTTACATGGTTGGTAACTGAAAGAATTGCTAAGCAATCTTAATACCTTGTTTTTGGGTTATTATCTACTATAATACGTAAAATTTAACCCCTTCAGTGTCTGATCTTCTAAAAGAGTGAAGACATAGGGAGTATTATTCATTTTCTCTTTCTTTCCTTTATTTATTTAGTCAACAAATATTTATTGAGTACCCACCATGTGCCATATCCTGTGTTAGGTACTAGAAATATCCGTAAAGAGTAAACAGACAAACTCTCATGACACTTATATTTTAATCGGGAAGAAAGTAGTCAGCCGTCACTTAACAATGGGAATACGTTCTGAGAAATGCATCGTTAGGGATTTTGTCATTGTTTGAACATCACAGAGTGTACTTACATAAACCTAGATGACGGTAATTTCATAAAGCAAGACATAAATACGATTAAGATAAAGAAGAGATACTGTGTCTAAGAGGGACTAGTCACTAAAAAAATGTGAATTCCTAAGAACGTGGGTAGATATATCTATAATAACCATAATAAAACAAGTCATAGTAGCTCATCATATGGCTACTGACTATCTGGGTACTTGATATTTACTACGATGATTTTCCTTTTCCCCTTACCTTTTGATTTCTATTTTTTTTCTTTAGCTTTCTCATTTTATTGGGCATCAAGGTGAGGGGGCAGGGAGACAGAATTGCAAAACTTTTCATCTAATCATTATTTTAGAGATGATCCAATCTAATTCCTTTCACTTTGTAGGTGATGAAACTGAGGCTCAGAGAATTGACCTGACTTGCTCTGGGTTTCACAGCTAGTTACAGCTAATCACAAGTAGGTAGTGGTCATCTCTGAGGATTTCCAGTGAGTGGTGCATCTCTCAATTTTGAATTTATAAAACCCCAAATCTGGACTTTCATGGTCTCACATGAGATCAACCCTGAGATATCTCAAATTCTCCAGGATCCAGGGGTTACCTTCTATTTAATACCTAGTAACAACCTACAAGCCCCCTTTCCACCCCTAAATCAGCAAGAAGTCCAGCCTTTAATGGGCTCTCATGGGCCGCCTCTCTGTCTGCTGAATGTTCGAGGCTTCTCTGTGGGTGGACTCCGAGAGTTTCACAACTACTTCTCCAGGCTGCAGGGAATCTCCGCACTTTGCTCAAGTCTCTGTGCAGACACAGTTCATTTTCCAAGCACTTCTAAGACCAGGCCATATAGTTTACAAAACTTTACCAATGGTTTGTGGATAGCAGAAGAGAATGACTCTGCAGGAAGGGAAAAGTACCTCTGGAGTTCACTGGTCAAGCTCTCAAGAAGAGGTCTCTTATCATCATCTCAATCTTTCAACCTTCCTTTAAGCTCAGTCCTGACGCCATATTTCAGGAACCAGCTTTACACACCACAGCCTTTGACCAGGTCCCTCCTGCCCGGAACCCAGGCCGTTAGGTCTTCACTGGCTCTAGAGAGTGAAGGAAATCCTTCTTTTTCCAGAGAGGCACCCCAGTCCACAGTGATGATCACCTTTGAGAAAATCATACAGAGCAGTTTACTCTTCATACTCTCATGTTTTCCAATCCAGATTTGAATTTTTTGACTTTGGGCTTTATTTTTACGTAATCAAAATGCTCTAAGTAAGAATTTTTTCCAAGACAAAAGAACACCCCTCATACCCACGATGAATGATGCCTCTACTTCCACCTAAAATTTAAGAACATAAAGCAAAAGAACTGTTGGCAGCTGGAAATAATCATCTCATGTACCCAACAGCCAGCTCTCAAAATTTCAGTCTTACTGGGTCAAGTTTCTGAACACCTCCTTCCATAATCTATAGAATTTCCCCCACTTCTTCTCTGCCAGTTGCCTTCCATTACCATCTTCAAAACTGGTTTAAAACCCATCTTTCCCGGAAGCCTGGTCAGCCTCATGTCCTTCTAATCAACAGTTCATTCTTAGCACTTACATATTCAGTTTATGTGATACCATTTTGTCATATTTTGTCATTTGTACATTCATGTTATCCTCCCATTTAGTACACAAACATGTTAAAGGCAGTTACCTTGTTTTAAGATCCCCTCACTCTGTTTGACAACAATGCCATTGAGTATTCAACAAATATTACATATTTCTTGTCAGATTGAAATCTGTCGTTTACCCCCAAACATTGCCGAAGGCCTTAGACTTACTGCATTGCCATTTCTATTGTGATCTCTTTCATTTCACCTTTCTACTGAATTTGTCCCAAGTTCAGTAGCCAACACTTGTCATATGGATTTGAGGATGACATCCAAATGAAATTCCCATTCGAGAGTATTGTTTAATCTCATTTGACATGACAAAATTTAATCTTTAAATCTCACACTATGATTTCCTATTTTGTAACCTAATGGGAAAATAGGATGCCGAGATGCCAGAGACTTAACTGAAGCCAGGGTGTCATACGGGCACTGCTTTATCCAGGACTGGATGGCCTTCTGTGGAGTGGCAGGGGGATGCTGGTGGTCTTAATAGGACAGTAGGACCTGTAATCAGAGCCTGAAAAGCCAGTGGAGGGGAGTGTGGGAGAAAGGGATCAGACCTGCTGAAGGGTCTCACTGAGTGTAGGAAGATGAGCTGAGGAAGAGAAGCTCAGAAGCCTGGGCTACTCTACCCTTAGGCCCAGCTGTGGCCTCAAAACACACAACATGCAAGGAGGAGGTGGAGAGATGGGATCAAGGAATGAGGACTGCATTTCGCAGATCCACAATGAGATACATAAGTAGCTGAATTCAGGGTCTGTGTTATTTAATTTTTTTAGGTCAATAAAATAAAATGGTAACATATCTAATAATTGTATTACTTACCCACCCCCATGTCCAGCCTCACCCCATCCTTCTTTCAGTGTTTAATACCATGTAAAAATTCAGAGAACTTTGGTTTTCCAGTGTTTGAATTCATAAATATGCTCAAAAGAGCTATTTGATATCTTTGAAGTTTTTGTTTATTTGCTGATTCAAATTCTGTTTTTTCTTATACAGAGGAAAATCATCTCTGACTAAGAATAAACAGAATTAATCCATGGTAGAAATCTAGGACCTACACATCTACAAGGGTTTTAATATTAAGCAAAACAACTTCTCTGGGTGTCAAAACATGCAGATATCTATGCATATTTGATGAAATTGATATATAGCTAACAGAATGCAGAGGGAACACATTTGGAGCTAAATATCTTAGGTTCTGACCCCACCTCTACTCTTAACTGACTTTGTGATCTGAGGAAGGTACTTAGCCTCTTAAGTCTCGGTTTCCCTATCTGTTAAGTGAGGCTGGTGATAATAGCATTTATCCTCTAGAGGTGTTGAGAGAATAAAATGAGTTAATGTATGTGTAGCTCATAGAAGGATGCCTGGTACACAGTGCCAAATGCGTGTTAGCTGGTGGCATGAGTACACTCCTATGGCTTACTTTTGCGGTGAGTTCATATTTAAGGTGCTTGGAGGGGAAGATTTCGTTGTTAATCAATTTTACAAATATTGAAAGTTGAATTTTCTTTTCTTCCAAATCACACGTGTGTGTGACATACATACATACATACGTGTATGTGTGCATGCACATGTATATGGTGATTTTTAAAGTGGTGCTTGTTAATTTCTATGTTACTCAAGAATGGATTGAATTTTCCTTTTCAATAATGCTGAAAATATCCTACTCATGGGGCAATTTCTTTCTCAATTTAAGCGCCAGGGATATAATATAATCCAAATACAGGAGCAACTTCAGCGAAGGGTGAGCCCACAGAGTTCCCTTTATATTTGGGCCAAAGGAACAGTCTAATTTTCTCTTTGTTATGTTTCAAATGCATCTCAAGCTGTCGTGGGACTATCATTGTGAAATAAAGGGGCCTTGCAGCTCAGCGCCTCCTACACACAGCTAATTAAATAGAAGAAGAGGCCAGGAGCAGACAAGAAGCACACTCATAAATATTACACATTTTTATTAATAACGTACAAATGATCCTAATTAAACCTGCATTTTCCATGAGCAACACTCTCACACACAAGTTTGTTCCCTTGTCCAGGACTTTGAGAGGGGTGGAAATATCTGGAATTTTAACGTAAGGAGACTCCCTCTTGGCTCAACACTCTCTCCCTTTTCTCTATTTCGCAGCCTCTCACTAGCTTTTCCCAGTTTTTAGGACCCAAGTGACTAAATGAAAGGTCCATGTTTCCTCTGAGCTCTCGATGAGCCTGTGATCCTAGAGACAAGGCTTGCCATTTAAAAAAGATTTCAAATCAAAACGCATGTAATCCACAGAGGTCTAAATTAGGCCTCTGCGTGTCATCTGTTCTCACTGCTCTCTTCACTGTACTTACTCAAATGTGGGATTATGTCTTTTTCAAAAGTCTGCCTCATTCTCCAGATATGAGCTCCCAAGACCAGGGACTCTATCTTGTTCATATTTCATTTCCAGTGCTAAGGTCGTCTCTGCCCCGTGATAGGTTCTCTGTGATTTGGGGGGGTGTGTGTGTGTGTGTTAGGGGGAGGTTGAAGCCAGGGCTTTTATGACTGCTGCTTCTTTTTTAAATTCAAAAGTAATTTACACACGATATAGTTTACACTTTGAGGCGTATCCTTTCACGAGTTTTGACAAATGTTCTGGAGTCATGTAATTTGTACCCTCATCGAGACAAAGCACAGTGGCATCACTCCCCACAGTGCCCCCGTCCTTGGCAGTCAGGCCCCTGCTCTGCTCTCACACCCAGTCCCTGGCACCCCAGTTTGTTTTCCGTTCCTACCGTGTTGCCTTTTCTAGAATATCAAATAACAGCCCTTATATGGTGAGTGGTCTTTTGTGTCTCGCATCTTTCATTTAGCATAATGCTTTTGAAATCCATCTACGTTTCTATATTAGTAGTTTGTTCCTTTTTATTAACAAAAAGAAATAGAGTAGATTCTTAATAATTATTTGTTGAATATATACAGAGGAATACCAACCTGGAACATATCTACAAATGGGGTAGTTGAGAAAACCTAAACATCTTTATCCACAAATAATTGCCGAGTGTCTGGATAATACGTTAATTAATGGTAATTGCAGATTTTCATACCAGGTCTTGTTTTTATCTTCAGATTTTTTTTTTAGTGAGGAAGATTGTCCCTGAGCTGACATCTGTGCCAATCTTGCTCTATTTTGCGTATGGGACACTGCCACAGCATTGCCTGATGAGTGCTGTGTAGGTCCACAGCCAGGATCCAAACCCGCGAACCCCGGGCTGCTGAAGCAGAGGGCGCAAACTTAGCCACTAAGCCATCAGGCCAGCGCCTATCTTCAGATTTTTTGATTGAGTACTTTTCTAGAATAATTGGAATATTTCAGCACCACCTCTAGTGGAAATGAAATCATTTTGTTCCTGTGATACCTAGGAGTTAGCATCTGGATATTGTCCCAGGACGTCTTCAGTGGAGACCCTGTGTACGTCTGAGGGAGGCTGATATTTACAGCATAGATAAGGCCCATGGGGACAGTGGGCACTGCACTTTTCAAGTAAAATTTCACATTTCAGCAAAAATGGTGTAAAATTATCTTATTCGGATGTTAAAAATGAGAATTTAATATATATTGCTTGTCTAACCTTAGCCTTAGAAAAATAAAAATCAATATTGGATACTTTCTAAAAATTTTCTCTTGGATCCCTGAAGAGTATTTTCCTCAGTGCTTACTGGGACCATAACTAGGAGAACTCTGATATTTTGAAGAGTGCTAACATGAAGTCATTGAGATGAAAGAGAAATCAGGTCTGTCCTTTCTGGGATGACATCAAAGATCATGGAGAGACAAAATGTGTAAGAAGAGAACACTAGATGGAGAATGAGATGTGACGTCTACATATGGCCAAGAGATTTAACCTCTCATGACAAGTGTTATTCTCTGGTAAAACTGGGATAAATAATTAAACCCTGCCTGTCTCTCAGGTTGCTGGTTTTGTTTTCGACAAATGCTACTAGCCATCACCTTCTATTTGAATTGCCGTTCTTTTACTAGAGACAGTCCTGTGTGATACTGAGATAGGTTGCTGTCTCCCCTAACGTGGCGGGGGAGATCACTGCTGGGAAAATTCTCTCTTCATTCACTCCTTTCCAATAAATGCCTCCATGAGCACAGAGGAATCTTGTTATTACAAAATGCCTTAGGTTATAACTCAAAACGGATGTATGACAATGTACAAGCTGCTTTGTAAAATTCTCCACATTTGCTTTAGAAAATTACTAAATATACTCAATTTTCCTATTATCCTTCTTACTTACTTACTATATACCAGGCACTGTGCTAAGAGTATGACACATATCATGTCACGTAACCTTCTCAACAATCCTCTAAGGTAGGTGATGTACTGGCCATATTTCACAGATGAGGAAACTGGGACTTCCATTTTCTGGTTGGTCTTCTGTCTAGTTGTTCTAGTTGGAGCTGGTTTTCATGGTACCATTATTGGGTCGCTGTTAGTTTTCAAAGTTACCACAGAACTGTAGAAGGTGGAATGGGAATAGGGCAAGTTAAAATCCCACAAAGCTTGCTGTTCTTATCAAGATTCAGTCCTTTTTTTGTCGAATAAATCTCTTCAGATTGTTGTAAGCCTTTGGCTAATTTCTAGAGTTGTAAAAAAGTTAGTTTTGTTAATTTTTTCCCATGTTCTCATTGGAACAGATTTTTGGGGGACCTTCTTCCACCATTCCCACTGATGCTCTGGAAGTGATAGTTTTTAGCATGGGAGGTGATGGCTAATCTGAGTCATCACTTCAAAAAACATCTCTTATAAATACACAAATACATTTTGAGAAAGGCTGAATTTATCAAAATATGGTTGAGGACCGTCTCCATTAGAATCACCTGGAAATTCACTGGGAATGCAAATTACTGAATCACCTCAGTCCTATTAAACTAGCTTCTCTAGAGAGAGAACCCAGAACCTTATATTTTTCACAAACCTGGTGATTGATGTACCCGTACAAAGTAAAACTGAAAAATCGCTGCTACATGGTACTCTACAATTGACATAATTCAATGCCTACTTACTGAATATTGCATTGCAAAATTGATTTTGAACATCTTAAAATTCAGCAACAGGAATTTTGGCAGATAATAATCACTTTCCTTCAGGTTTACATTTATCAATGATATTTCAACATTGCCTGCACGTAAGTTTCGTATCTTGAAAATGTCTAAGAGTTGTGTGATTAAGCACCTACCAGCTGCTAAGTGTTCAAGGGCTTTCATTATATCATTTAATTCTCAAAGGTATGACCTTTTATCCCTCTTAAAGGTGAAGAATCTGCCCAGGGTCACGTGACCAACCAAGGGAAGAAGTGGGATTTAAAAGAAGTCCCCCTGACCCTAAGCCCTATGCTTTTCCTGCTCTGCCTTCCTACTTCCTTAAGCTATGTCTTCATTACACATTTCTCACTTGAACATAATGACCATTTTGCCAAGAGTCACAACGCATTCATTTCAATTCTTTTTAAAAATGTCAGAATATTAGATGTCTTTCTTATCTCTTTATAATGCAATCCAACATCTGTTTGTCTGAAAGTTACAGAATAATTGGCAAATGGAGTTACTTGCATGTAGGCATGAGAAAGGAAGGAACAAGATTTGGAACCTCTGTGGTGTGTGGGCTGAGGCTGAATTTCACAGCGGCTCTAAAATGAAGGTGAAAGAAAGGAATTGAGGCCTCAAGCAAACCAAATCAAATTAGTTCAAAGAAAAGGAAATGACTTTCCAGATGAATAGAGATGAGCTGGCATGCACATGCTAAACACCCTCATATTTTTAAATGACTATATGTCATTTTCTCAAGGCTGTGGGCAATGGGTGTATATTTCAAAAGAGGATTTCAAAAGAACAAGTTTTCTCAATGAGCTGGCCAACATTTCCTGATGTCATAGTGCTATTTCTTAGAATTCTGGATTTGGTTCATCACTTGTCACAAAGAGACAACATGGCACAGAGGGGTGCCCTAGACCCCTAGACGTGACCTAGAAAATGGGCTGACTGGACTTTTAGAGCTGTGACTTTGATTTCCCTCTGTCTGTGTCTGTGCAAAATTTCTCAGGTCAGTTATAGAATAGATGACTCGAGAGAAATCCAGTTGTGCTGAACTAATCTTGTGTTCTAAATTTTATCAGATTGGCTCATGTACGGGTATATATTTCTTAGTAGATGTCAATTTTTAGGTAAGTAGACTCAGAACTCTTTGAAAACAGGGACTGTTTCTCATTCAGCCCTGTGCTGTCCAAACCTAATGCAGTACTTTGCACACAGTGGGCACTCGAGACGTCTGAGGAATGAAGGAACAGAGTCCACCAACCACATTAGCGGATCAGTAGATTATGGTTGTCTCATCTGTTCTCAGCCTATTGTTTTATCTGAAAATAGATTTTTTAAAAATGTAAATAATAACTGAGTAAGTATAAGGGTAAAGAATAACCAGGAAATGAAAATCCACGTACCCACCTAGTTTAAGAGAAAAAATGTTCTACTTAATTTTGAAGTGTCCGGAGCATCCAAACTCCTTTTTCTTCACCGTATGCCCCACCTCCAGGGCGACCACTCTCCCAAACTTTGAGTTTATTGTTCATTCTGGTGCTTTTATATTAGAAATAAGTGTGCCTATCATCATTATTAAAACATTACTTTTTTTTGGTAGAGAGGATAAGATTACTCTCTGTTTAAAGCAACAATAATCTTTACTGATGGGCTAAAAGTCCATAAGGGGTGTGAGGTAAAGGCCAAACAGGTCCAGCCCCTCAAAAAATAGATATTCAAATCTTAATAGGAGTTTTCATAGCCTTCCCTCAAAGGAGTAAAGAATATGAGAATTTCAGTTTCATTATGGGATGAATAAAGGAGAGATTTTGGTGGGGGCTCTTCTGAGTGTCCCTGTGCGTCCCCACTGGACCTCGCATACTGCTGTTGTTAACAAGACTGTTCAGTGGTTAGAGACATGTTGCCTCCTAAAATCACGCACCTGTGGCCTGGCAAGTCATGGCTACAAGTCCTGTTATTTAAATATCCATTCCTTCTGCATTCATTGATTACGACAACAGCTCCACCAGCCTGCAGATTTGGAAGCTCTGAGCCATGTTAAGAGCCAGACTTGATAAATCAAAGCTGTTTTCTCACAGAAGCAGATGAAAGAAGTAATTTACAGTTTACTCACAGCGAAGAGTTTGTCTGAGACCACAAGAGAGAAAGGCCTCTCCTGTGAGAACCTGACCGACTTCTTTGGTGACTTTCCAGAACAAGGAAGATTTGCTGTTGTTTTCCTTTCATGTATGGGGTGGATTTCCCACTTTTTCACTGCTCTTTTTCTCTGAGTAGACCAAGTTTCTTCTTTGCTCACCAAAGGTGAGCAAAGGTAATCTTTGAATATCTTCAAAAGTGGGCCTGGTCATGCTTGTCATTGAATGAATATAAATTTTCCAATATCTTATATTGGAGCTGAGGTGTTGGTGTTCTAGTTATTACATTAACTGCATTTATACTTTAGTTTTATTCATTTTACGTTAGTTTTATTCATGCAGCTCATGCAGCACGTTTGAGAGCATCTAATGTCTACTAGATGCTGGGAGTACAGCAGTGGATAGAACAGATTTGTCTCTGCCTTCAAGGTTATAGTCTCTCAAGGGAGGCAGACATTAATCCCAACTCAGTGAGTGTTTGAAGGAAAAGGATACTTCATTTTGCTACGTGTTACGGACGGCAACCTCCTTACCACCTGCTTCCTATTTCCATGTGGAGGGCCTTCACTTAATGCAGCCCTCCTGGCCTCTCTGAACAGGGCTTGTCGAACTTAGCCCATCTCCTCTCTGCTTTTGGGATGGGCCTGTCTGCTCTGAGCCTCTGCCTCCGAGTGGGAGGTGGGGCAGGGTTGGGGCCCTCCAGGTTTCCAGCACTGCCGTGACCACACGTCTGTCTAATTCTGCAGTTCAGAAGAGGAAGCCCACTGACGCCACGTACCGAAGCTAGATTGCCCCCCAGCCTTTCCTGGTATTATGCTGATGCTTGATCCTCATCTGCTTGATTCCACTGTCTCTCTAATTCAGAATTTAAGTGGGAGGGAAGATGCTATTATTGATTCCCTCAAACTTCAACACTAAGCATCAAATTTGATGCTTATACTGGGGGAACTGATAAAGTCTAATTTCTGGACCAGTGGTTTTCAAATTCCCCTCCTCAAGGGCAGGAGGATTCTAAGGCGCTGGCGAGCCTAACCCTGCCCCTCCACAGCCTGCAGGGACGGTAGGTCTTCTTGGGTCTGTTTATAGGTTCGGCTTCCCCATAAAAAGTCTGAGATTAACAGGAGTTTAAGAATCAGTGCCTTAGACTCTTAGCTTTCAAGCATTTTAGACCACAATCTAGAGTAATAAGTACATCTTATATTATACATACTAGTAGGTACTATCTACTAGTGTATACAGACCTTATTAATTCCATTCCATTCCTTTCCATTTTATGCCATTACAAACAAAAGTTTGGTTACAACTCACTAAACTGATTCTACAACACTCATGACATGAAGTTTGAAAAATTCTGCGTGAGACCATGTTCATTTTATCAAAGGGATGCTCTGGGTCAGGCGCTTATCTGTCAGTGACCTGACGTCCTTACTGCATCTCTCTGCCCTACGTGCCTTACTTCTTTTGAAGGCGAATATATTATTTGTTTTCTGGATGGAAATAAATTAGGGTTAAACTTATTATGAAATTATGGTTTCTTCTGAGAAAGTATTTTTTCATCACTGTTGCCATTATTCCTGAGACTATCAACAATATCAAAATAATGTACTATATTCCAGCCCTGGCAAACACTACCAAATGTTTCCCTTGAGGCCCACTGTAAACCATAGTATTATTACTGGCCTCTTTTGTTTTGTTTAGTGGGGGTAATTTGTATCAAATCATGAGAGTGAACGAAGTTAATGAAAATTCTCAAGTTCATAGAATTTATACTCTACTAGAGTGTGTCTTTTAAGTAAAAATATTCATAGGACTCACATTTTATGTGAGGCTATTTGTCACCACCATCCCTTTCTTGACAGTATGACATCCAGAAAATGGCAGTTCTGATGGGGCCGAGGAGGCAGGATCATTTCCGCGGCTGAGTTAGCGCAGCGCAGCAAGGTCAAGGCATCCCGGGGGTTGTGAGAGGCTCTGTAAGGGAGTAAGACTGCATCAGAGGCAACAGGGCCCCCGTGACGTGGCTTCGGACCAGCCCTGTCCCCAGTCTATGAAGCTGACTTCAAAGCAATAAACGCTGAGAAGTCAGTCCGTTACTTACCTGGTTGCCAGCGCTTCCGGCGAGGCGCAGACGGCCTCCCTGCCGATGGAGGGAGAGGAGCGCCCGGGCTCAGCAGCCGGCCTCCCCGGGCGCGGGGCGAGCCCCCTCCTGCCTCCCCCCTCGCCGCCGCTCGCTCTAAACGGGCGGTGGAGCCAGGTAAACACAGGTGCTGCCTGCGCTGGCTGCGGCCTCTCTGATTCAGGCTCTCCCCGGATGGCACTGGCTGGGAATCACAAGAATGGAGATCTAATCAAGTGAACGCTGGCTCCCTGCCCGCCGCTAACTGGTCTCATTCAGCTTCCCCATTGTTGATAATGAAACACAAGCGAGCCTTCAGGTTTTTGCCTGCTGGTTCCCAACCCAGCATTTGCTGCAGTCTGACTTGCCATTTTGTGGCTTTCTGGAAAGAACACTCGCCCGCAATCAACACGCCTGGCTTCTTGTCCAGGTTTTGCCTGGCACATACCGTGCACGTCACTTAACGTCCCTGTGCCTGCTTTCAAGTGCAGATTCTAACCCTAGTGCTGGCTGAGCGTTGTGATTTTCTTTTCTTTTTTTCCTTTTTAAAGATTGGCACCTGAGCTAACATCTGTTGCCAATCTTCTTTTTACCCTCTTCTTCTTCTCCCCAAAGCCCCCCAGTATAAAGTTGTGTAGTCTAGTTGTGAGTGCCTCTGGTTGTGGCATGTGGGACGCCGCCTCAGCGTGGCCTGACCAGCGGTGCCATGTCCGTGCCCAGGATCCGAACCAGCGAAACCCTGGGCCGCCGAGGCCCAGCGCGCACTCTGCCACGGGGTGGCCCTGCTTTGGGATTCTACATCTCAGGGATTTTTCAAGGTGGAAAGCAGAACACGCTTAGGTGAAATTCAAGGCTCTGTCTTAAAATCCTACAGGGTTGAAGGCTGTCCTGGAGGCGTAAGGAGAAGGAAAGAGACAACAAGGCTGGAAGGAGAAGTTTCTGGGAGGGAGACAGCGCGTGCCTGCCCTCAGAGCTGTCGCTGCTAGGGAGACAAGCCTCAGGAGGGAGTGCAAGGGACAGCCAGGCACTAGAGGCCTGGGCGCTGTGACTCGGGTTCTCCAACCCGCCCGAGACTTCGGCCTCCACAGAGCAGCAGCAGGTCTGCCACAGCGGCCGCAGCAGACACCCCGAGGCCTCCCCAGCCTTGGGCCCGGTGAGACCCCAGGGCTTGACCCCTTCGCAGGAAGCAGCCCCAAGAAGGCCGACGGTTTAACTTCTTCACAGTCCAATAGGAATGGGACTTGGAGTCAGAATTAAACTGATTTAAAGAAGATAAAAATAGCTAATGCAAAATTTCGTACCTCCTGCGTGGATGGACAGGGCCCACGCTCTGTGCGTGTCACCGGTCCCCTGCGGGAGCGGCTCAAAGCCCGCGCGGCCCGTCCCGTCAGTCGGCTTGGAGCCTCCCGCCCGGCGAGGCCCTCGGAGCGCGGCCTGCAGCGCCCGCCACGCGAGCAGCGCGAGGGGGACCCGCCCGCGGCCCGGGGCTCTCCCCGCCCGAGGCAGCCTCGGGGCGACAGGCGGCAGCGCGTCCGGAGCTGGGCGTGGGCGCCGGCGCCGGCTCAAGCCCTTGGGGCCGGCGGGTGCTCGGGGCCCGCTCAGCCCCCAGTTCACCACGGCTTCGTGCCTGCGGAGCGCAGGGCGCCAGGAGCCCGCCAGACTCCGGCCAAGTTTCTCTCCCGCTGAAACGACTTCCTGCGGACGGAGCGTTCGCCTTGGCTCCCAGGCCCGCGCTCCTTGCATGCTGCACAGTTCCCGGTCAGTCACGGAAAGGGCCGTGCCCCGAAACAGCCACCCGCTGGCCCACAGGGTTCTGGGGGCCCTGCAGCGAAGGGAGGCAGGGCGGCCTTTGTGGCCCTGGCGGCGCGGCGCGGGCTCACCGGCTGGGCCCTTCCAGTCGGGTTGTTCTTAGCGGCTCAGGGCGGACTTTGCAAAGGCAGGTCCTACCTGGCTGCTAGTTATTGAGGTCACCCAAGGATAGCAGCTTTAGGGAAAACAGGAAGAAGAAAAAACCGTATTTTTAGTGCATTTCCTCATGCCTTTTTGTGGTCCCTCTCTGTTTTTGAATTCTTCTTCAGTGTCCCCAGGACGCCCTCGCTCCCCACCTTACCCGGGGAGGTCCCGTGCTTGTGCTGTTCCTCGATGCCCAGAGACTTCCGGGGTCCCCTGGCCTGCCTTTCCTCACAGTAAAGTATAAAGGAAGACAACTTAAAATTACCTGTTATACAAAGTATGGAGCATTGTTTTAAATTGTGGAAAAAACACATAAAATTTACCATCCTAACCATTTTTAAGTGTGCCCTTCAGTACTGCTAAGTATATTCGTGTTATGGTGCAGTGGACCTACAGAACTTTTTCATCTTGCACACTGAAACTCTGTATCCATTAAATAACTCCCCATTTTCCCCTCATCCCAACCCCTGGTAACCACCATTCTACTTTCTATATCTATAAATTTGACTACTTTAGGTACTTCACGTAAGTAGAATTAGACAGTATTTGTCCTTATGACTGGCTCAGGATTCACCCATGTTGTAGCATGTGACAGGATTTCTTTGCCTTGAAGGCTGCATAATATTCCATTGCACGTACAAACCACATTTTGTGTATCCATTCACTGGATAACCCAAATGATAGACATTTGGGTTGCTTGCACCTTTTGGCTATTGTGAATAATACCTCTATGAACATGGGTGTACAAATATATTTTTGAAATCCTGTTTTTGATTCTTTTGAATATATACCCAGAAAAAGGTTTGCTGGATCACATGGTAGTTTTCTTTTAAATTTTTTGAAGAAGTGCCATGCTGTTTTCCATAGCAGTTGCACCATTTTGCGCTCCCACCAACAGCGCGCAAGGATTCTCCACATCCCCATCAACACTCATTATTTTCTGGTGTTTTGTTAGTAGCCATCCTAACTGATGGAGAGTATGGTTGAATTGTAACAGAAGATTTTAATGCTTCAACCTAAAGGGATAATGATGGTGTTGATTTCAGGTTCTGGCATGGGCCATGGGAAGTTATTAGATGTTTTGGTTAGAAGATTCTTCTGGCATCCTGTAAATCACATGACACGGACCTCAGCAGAGTTGTTATATCACCTGAGTGATGGTTAGCTCACCTGTCCCTGAAATCCAGATGAGATTACCTTTTCTATACCCCATTCTAGAACTGAGAAAAGCCAGATTCACAACACAGGATGATGCAAATTTCTGGAGGAATTGTCTCATGGCCCCATCTCTGGCCCCTATGTTCTGCTTATGTTATGGATATTTTTTTTAACTCTCCTGACTATATCATTCTTATTTTGTTCCACATGGACACAGACGTGGGACTGAGTCACTTTCCTTGGTTTCCACAGGAATAGCCACTCCCTCGTAGCTTTTCTGTATACAATGGATTGCACTGAAGTTTTGAGGAGGAATTTACACTGCAGAAAAGCAAGCTATTTAAAATGGAATTTTAGCACTCACATGCCCAAAAATCTTTGGACCATCCTGCCTCAGCACATTTGTTTTCCCTGCCGTCTTGCTATTCTGTTCAGCCTACTCAGAGTCTCGCTTGCTCCTCTGTTCCCTTCTCTGACTTTTCACCCTGGCCCTTTCTAACTCCTAGTTACCCAGGGCTCTGAGCTGCACCAGCTGGAACCATGAGGGACTGCTAGTTTCTCAGCCCCAGGTTCCTACCTCTTACCCTCCCTTAAAAGAGACAGGAACCCAGAGGACTGGACCAAAGAGTGTTTCCATCTGTAATGGTTTCCTGAAGCTGGAGACTTTGCCTTGACTCCTAGACCCAGTTGTGCTTCCGTACTCCACAGTTCTCAGGGATGCCCAATTCTCCTCTCTCTAGTGGGCACACCAATCAACTCCCTCCAATCTCCACTATAAGCCCTCCTTTGCAACCTGCAAACCTCACAATGTTTACCTAAGTGAAATACCCATTTATGAGCTCAAAGACACCAGTGGAAGTCTCGAGTTTTCCTTTAGCAGGTCTACCCACCTTCCTTGAGAGGGTAATGGTTTGAAATAGCATTCGTTTTTCTTCCAATACCAGAGAAATCTATGGTTTAAAATTCCTGACAACCAGTCTGTCGGCATGCATTTAGGAAAGCTTCTTGGAGCAGTTGAGCCTTGAAAGAAAGCTAGCATTCTGACAAGTGTGCTTCCTTTCTTTTTTTTCCTTCCAGCTCATATCAAGGCGGGCTGTGGACATGGTGAGGAGTGTCTCCTAAACCTTGTTGGTTCTGTTTATTTCAAGGACTCTCTGCACTACCCGTGGAAGCTAGACTTGCAGAGTCCCGTGATGTTGGCTTTCTAACTTGGGCAACTGTTTTGTGCCTTATTCCCACACCATGGTGGCTGTTTGTGGCAGGAAGCTGACAGGGATGTCAGCCTCTGTAGCTCTCATCTGTAATAATGCACTTCTTCATTTCACCTGGTTAGTGGAGACCCTGCCCCCTCTCACCAGGCAGACGTCCCAGAGGGAGTCTGGCCTGAATCCTGAAAGGTTGTCACAGAAGTCTCAGTAGTTGCTCCCTCTGACTGTTTATGGTAGGCTGGAAATGCTATCGTGAAGCTAATCTTGTAATCCTTTTCTTGCTAAGAGGAGAACAGTGAAATTCTGTGGGCCAGAGAAATGTAGGCGGCTGGGGTTTGAACTTTAGGCATGAGTGCGGTAGCACCAGCCTCCTGTTCAGTCTCATTGGCCCTGCCATGTTGGGAATGATGCAGTCAGAAGGCAGCTGGAGATTGCAAAGGAGCCAGACTGCAGGAGTCACTGGGTAAAGAAGAGCATGGCGTGAGGCAGAAAAAGGGAAACAGTCCATCACCCAATTTGAGAACTGAGAAAACAATTATGTCCAATGTGCCTAATTTCACAGAAGTTATCTCAACTATCCTGTCAGTGTCGAAAGAGGTATAAATAGGATGTAGTAATGGGAACTAACATCTCCTTGTCCTATAGTACAAAACCGCCTGTAGTTTCTGGAATACATCACGATCCCTCTGACAATCTCGTGTCCTGTACCTGAAACAACTTCTCTGCCTGAATCTCTCCCAGTCCCCACGTGCCCATTTTCCCCTGGATCCCTTCCACCAGACCTTCAGATTTCAGGATAGATGTCATTTCCTCTGGAAAACTATCTCAGACCCCCGGAGACGAGGCAAGGTGCTCAGTTCATGTCATAGTACTTATTACTGGGAATAGTAATTGCACCTGTCCTTATTATCTTTTCTATCATTTCAAGACCAAGGATTGTGTCTTCTTCATCACTGTATCCATAACATAAATACCTGGAATGTAGAAGGTAGCCAAGAAATATTTGTTGAAGGAATAGATGTTGAGATGTACAAGCACATATAAAATAGCTATCTTCAAGTCTTCCTTAAACTAAATCCAAATCCTTTA